GGTGTGCATGGATTTTGAGTTGTGAATGACAGTCATTGGGTCTTAAAATACGTTTCATTGTGGTGAATAGCTCCCTTGGCCTCCCAATTACTCCAAGGGTTTCAAGAGCCTCAGATTTCCCTCCATCAGTCATTCAATTGTTTTAGTTCCAATGTGATTTTTTTTTTGTGGTTGTAGCTTTTTTTGTTAGATTTCCAACAAGGTAAGGGTCGCTCCATTTGGAGTTGAACTGAACTTTTGGTGAAATTTTGAGTGTGAGGGGGTCGACTGCCTTCGCAGTTTGGATTAATCGAGTTTGGGAAGGCATTTCTCAGTGCCTGATAACTGGATTCGTTTGAAATTTTGGGAGAATCAAGATTTGTAAGCTAAGCTTTGAAGGGCACAAGTTTCGCTAGATTTGAAGACAATTTGAATTTTTAGCGAATTTCTAAGTGAAGAGGGTTGGTCGCCACGGCAGTTTGGATCACTCAACTTCAAAGGAGCAATTCTCACGACTGGATCACTAGATTGCAATGAGATTTATGGGGCAGGAGCATCTTTAAGTTAACCTTGCAAAAACCTGCGAATCATTCAATTTGGAGCTAATTAAAATTTTTGGCGAATTTTGGAGTAGAAGGGGGTCGCTGCCTTCAATCCTTGGCGTTGTCAAGGTACCTTCGCTTTTACCTCTCTTATTTTATTTTTACTTTTATCTTCACTGTAACTCGTAATCTCCACATTTCAACTTTTGACTAATAAATTTTAACTTTTAACCTTTAATATTCTCACTTAAATTTTTAAACTTTGAACTTTAACTTTTGAATTTAATATTTAACTTTAATTTTTAACTTTTTACTTTAACTTTTAACTTTATATTTTAAATTAAATTTTAACGTTAACTTTTAACTTTTAATTTAAACTTAAGTTTTTATTCTCATTGTGAATTAATAAGAAAAACTTAATTAATTACTTTTATCATTTTTTTGTGTGGTGAATTTCATCTTATATTTTAATTTAATATCGGTAACCATTGCTTGGAAAGCGTTAATTTTAATTGAATTAGAAACACCCACATTTTAATTAACCTAACAATTTCACAATTGGAAGTTCTTCCATTCTACCTCTTGAGGTCGTTGTGTAGTACTATATCCATAAAGTGGTGGATTTTAGGCTCACAAAAAGCCTCTACATTTGATCTAATAAGAAGTCACCTTATATTTAATCCAATAAAAAACCTCTATTATTCTATTTAATTCTATCATAATCCATCCAACTAAATTCTTTTGATGGCTCTTTCAATGACCATTAAAATTAATTTTTAACTCATATATGAAATTACACACTATTACACTAACATTAGTTTACTTACATACTTAAAGAAAGAATTAACTCATATAAATATCTAAATTTTAACCACTAATCGGATTACATCACAACATTGTGATTACTTGAGCTATTTCTAGAGATAGCATAGGCATCTTATCTTCCAACATTTTACCAAATAGATAGAAAAACTTTGCTTGTTTAAAATTCAAAGCTAACAAATCAATATTTAAAAAAATAAATGTATTTGATATTTTATAAGTCAAAATATGTATTCTATCTTTAATATTAGTTTTTCCATCTTATATTTAAATTGAATTAGGAGGCTTTAATATAAAACTAATATTTAGAAGGCTAAATAATAATATCAATTAAATTTGAATATTAAAATCTCTATAATTGCTTTGATAGCCATGCAAGGTTTCTAGTATCTCATTTACAGTAAGTCCCATATTTTTGGCTATTGTTCAAATACAAGTGATAGCTGCAACTATCATTTATTTTAATACACCAAACATATAAATATCTAAGGTAGAAGGACTTACTCTAGTCCTAGAATTTATATGAGATTTAATGACTTAACATGATGATATCACATTATTAAATTTCTTCTCTACTTTGGCAATTTTAGCTTTTAAAGTTTTTTTTTATTATTATTTGAAGAAAATTTTCTATTTGAATGTAAAATGAACTAATTATCCTTACTATGGTTGAACTTATCACAATAAGTATACTTTAATTGTTTCTTTTTAAATCTTTTTCTTGCCTTAATCATTTTTATTTTTTGCTTATACTTTTATATATGTTGAGCCTTCTTCTTTTTATGACAATTAATATCATTTTTTGTGTAGCTCCATTTATTACATCTTTAATGATGAAAAGTTATTTCAAGTTAATTTTTTGTCAAGCTACATATGGTAATTGCAACCTTCTTAGGTCTAAATACAATTGGCATCTTAACAACCATATCAATAGCATAATGTTGATAATGGACCTTGTCACACTTCTTAATTTTAACAAATGCTTGTGCCAATGTTGCTTTGTCATCATATTTGAAAATAATTCTTTTTATCAATAATTTTAATAGTGGCGCATCAATCTTAGATAAGAAAAATTAAAACCTTTGTTCTCAACAAATACATTCTATGATTCTATTGAAAATTGAGCTAAATATGTATGCATAGTGTGTTAAGTATCTTTTTTTTTACATTGGAAGTCTTGAATACATTACATTTGATCATTCCTAAACCTTCTATATTTAATCTTTAAATGTTAAATAAAAACTTAAAGTACTTCAAATAATAGTGGCTATCATATTCCAAACAAAGTCAACTTTATAACTTGAGCCATTTGTGATAAGATAGATGGTATATTGCTTGAGGCCACTACTATTACTTCTTCTTTTGGTATCTTTTAAAGATATCTTAGTTTTTGTTTTTAATGAATCTTCTTTTACTAGAGGAATAAAATTTAAAAGAGCACTTACTCTAAGAACTTAGATAAGATCAATTCTTACCACTTAATAGTGATTTATTTTATGTAATTCAAATGAATGATCTTTATTCCATCTTCTGTAGGTCTAAAGTGCCTCATGCTTCAAATGCTGGAATAATAATTCAAAGTCATGTCATTCATTAAAAATAAAAGACTTTTGGTATTTTTTCTATATCCATGTTTGAAATTTGAGTTTCCAATCTAGTAAGGTTTAAAAATCAATCTATTACCATATTGTAAGGATTATCTTTTATCTAATAAAATATATCTATATCCAAGATTTAAAACCTCGTAGTAGTGTCCAACATTAAAATATATTAAAAAAATTTACTTATATCCACCTCTATTTCAAAGTCTTATATGTGGTCAATATCCAAATAATTTAATGAAGGAGTTTTATAATATCAACTTTTGATATGCACCATAAGATGATGACTTGAGTACTTACAACTATCAAAAGACATGACAACAACTTGTATTTACAACCACCATCAATCTTTTTAGTTTATTAGTAATTACTTTTAGATTATTATATAGGCAACAAGTCAACAAATAAAAGAAACTTGGCAATCATCAATCCAATTTTATTCCTATGATACGCCTATTAGCAAAGACTAATATAATACAAAATAAAGCAACATCAAAAAAACCTTCAACAATAATAGTTGCAATAAGTAGAAGATATCAAAGACAATAACCAACAATCTACATTGAATTTTCATCTTTAATAATACAAGAAAGAAAATTACAAATAAACCAAGCAATCAATATCCGCTTACAATTGAAGGTCACAAATTAAAAGTAAAATAAAGAAATAAGTATATGCTTATAATTGATGGTCAAAAATCATAAAAGATGTGACAATAAAAGAAGATTGCATCAATAAATCTATAATATAAAATGTGGAAAAGAGAAGGATTAAAACTCACTTAAAAAGCAAATTGAGTGAATTTTATAATCACATAGTCATGTCACCATATATTGTAGATTACTACAAGTTACCTCTACTTTTGCCATTGAAGGATCTCATCTAATATTGATTATTGCTACTAATTCTACTATTGTATTGCAACCATTTTATGAAATTTTATTGTAATATCAACCACTATGTCAACTTGGCCTCAAGAATATGATTCTCAAATGCTTGCTTTTATGGTTACAAGACCAATTTATAAGCAAAACCTTAAAACTCAAAAAAAAAAAAAAAACAAACAAACAAAACAAAACAAAACAAAAATGTTATATATAGCAATATGCTAGAACATAAGAAACAATAATGTGGTCAAATTTTAAATCATATAAATACTTATTCTAAGCGACACAATCGTCTAACAATTACATATAAGTAAAAGACCTTCTACACCACTCAAATAATGTCTATCAATACATTAGCAACAAATATATTGACATAAATTCTAATAAATTGGCAATTGAATTATTCATAAAATCTTGTTTTGATTTCAACTACAATTCAAATATTGCTCTATTCCAATCATAATCTTATTGCATTGCTACAAAACAATGCCAAAATTCCTATGCTTGCCCTCTTACTTCACAATGTGTTGTACCATAATACAACCTATTGTATCCCACTATCACATAACTTCTAATTCATGATATTACATCAAGATGTTAGTAGCCAAAGTATCAGATGTTGCAGTGTGTGGAATAGGTCGTTCTCTTGCTGATGGATAAAATAGTAACTGAGTGATGCGTCCAACGGTGAGGTTGGTCATATTTTCTTCGAAACCATGGCAATGTTCGTTAACATGTTATGCTCGTGAATCTTGTTCTCGCTACTTTACATTTATTCCTGACCACCAGATTTTATGCATACATGCTAATCGTTATAGATGGAGTTGGCAGGCAACACATTTTCGAAGTACGAATTAGAATATCGGAGGATACCTTGTGATAGAGTTTCTTGCTAATGAAGCGGCGGATCCAAAGACTAGCATTCACTTCTGCATTCATGTCTCATGGCCGCGTTTGCTGAACAGACGCATAGACTTGTGTGTACCCTTTGAAACCAAGAAAATCTTTGAGTTTACTTCCTGACACAAGATGGATTGTGAATTTGGTGATGCACTCCGCGACTGGGTTAATGTTCTGCATGTTCTCATAACTTTCCCCTCATGTTTATACAGTGACGGTTTCCTCTTAGCACTCCTGTTCGGTAAGTGTACAAAGCAGTGGCTGCAAGCTTAGGCGGAAGGCAAGCGGGTTTAAAGAAACCATAATATGATCGCTCATTATTTCGTGTTACACCTCGTATGATATATCCTACGACAATGTGGACATCTTTACCCCGAGTTTGACGGACCCAATCAAGAACAAGGATGCATCGCATCCATGATACCCTGATGGGTTGGGACAAAACCATATAGCTAAGAAACTGGTGACACTTAAGTACAGCAAGTACGTGCTCTTAATTACGTGCTACTAAATACATGCTCATTTATACCGCCGAAACCTTATTCCAATTCACATTCACATGCACTCACCGCCCCCATGCTTGCTGCCGAACACAACCAAAAAGTCGTTCGGCTCAGCATGCTGCCCCTTGGAGCACTGTGAGGAGTGCTCTCCATGCTCGAGATTCATGCTGGCTTCATGCTCTCTCGGCAATTCGCTTAGACCGTGCTTCAACGCCACTGCAGAACATTGGATTTCAAACAACTCCCTCCATGACAACCTCATTTCTGTTCGCCGGATACCGCACCCTGCGGATCCGCTGAGGTAGCATTGGTGGGACCGGTCTGATTGGGGCACCGCTTCCGCTGGTATTGGTTTTCTTCTCAGAATGAATTGCTACCTCCGGCTCCGATGACCATGATGCCCAGCAATCTCGATTCTTCGCATTACAGGTTTCTTCTTCTCCATTTTCGGAACCACCACCATAAGCACCCCGTCCTCCACTTTGGCCGTGATGCGATCCAAGTTTGCATTCTCGGGCGACCGGAACTTCCTCATGAACTTCCCGCTGCTACGCTCCACGCGATGCCAAGTATCTGTCTTGTGCACCTCCTCCTTCTGGCGCTGCCCGGCGACGCTCAGGGTTCGGTCGCCCTCGACCTGCACTGTGACCTCCTCCCTCTTCAACCCCGGCAGATCGGCCTTGAACACGTGCTCCATCGGGGTCTCTTTCCAATCCACGCTCGTGCTTGCGACGGCGTAAGCGCCCCTGGCAAACGAGCTGGCGGGAGTGTCGTCGTCGAAGAAAGCCAGCATGACATCTATCGGGTCAGGCAGGCTCCACAAGTCGTCCCGGAGGCGGGAGAATGGTGAGAGCGCCATGGTGATCGATCGCAGGAACCGAAGGAAACCACCGATCACAGGACGAGCAAACAGGCGGTGGGCAGTGAGTGGACTGGGGAAGCGAGAATAGTCCAGCCATGGAAATGTGGAGTAACGAAGGAGCTCGAAAAGTTGAGTTGAGTTGAGTGGAGGCAAGGATAGGAAAAGGGATAGGAAGCGGTGGAGCCTGCCTGAATCGGGCGACCTTCGGTAAGTAACGCCGACCCTGGTGGACGGTGCAGCTGGTTGTCGTGCATGTAGGAATCGGTGTGGGGAGAAGGGTCTCGGGCATCGGACGGCGCAGATTGAGTGGATGTGGAACGCAACATGCGCTGCATGGCCGCTTTAGAGGACGGCGTCCCACGTGTCGAAATATAGGCACTGGTGTACAGATGTAGGCATAAATAAACATATTGTTTTTCAAATTTTGTGTTTAAATTGTTTTAAGAAGTGATTTTTACACTTATTCAAGAAGTTATATCAAAATTTCTGTTAAGATGCCCATAAAAAATATCACAAATTTGGAAGCTAATCATATATGTGAGAATTATCATTTTTTTTTTTTTTTTTCTTGTTGCTAAATTCTTACCTTCTATCTAAAACCTCCTTGAATGAAGTATTTCTTGTAGATGCCAAGATATTTCTCCTTTCTTCATTTTTCTTTTATATATATATATATATATATATTCATATTGATGGGTTAATATTGTATTTATTTTTTCTTGTTTTATTAAAGATAACTTGTGAGAACCCTATTGATGGGTTCTCACAAGTTACAGGTTCATCTCAACAGCAATATTAGAAACAACATTGTTCATAAATAAGTCAACTCTATTAATATAAGAAAGAATCTTTCGATATGATTTGTAGAATATAAGATATATCAACAGGTGAGTTACGCTATGCAAATTTCTAATAATTTGGGGAGTAACTTCTTTTCATTGAATATACGTGTCAAATTTTATTTATTCCGAATAATTAAATATAATACAATAACTATACTTAAAAACACCAAAAGTATGTTTTAAGATAGTATGATGGTATAACAAAAGAAGTTTCGAATGTCAATCTATTAAACATCAACAAATCATCTGCCGACAAAGTATAAATTACATCCAAACCCCAAAGAGATTATCTAAACCGATAATGGCAAAAGGAAAAAGAAAAAGATGAAAAGGAAGAAAATAGGAGTTATTGGTATACATAAACAAGAATCCAATTCTAAAGAATTTAAATCAATTTCTTGTACTCAAATGGAAAATCAAGAACATTGGAGAAAAATGTTGGAACAAGTGGGTTCTAATTCTTTCATTGTCTTCACAAATATTTGAAGGAGTAGTTTTATAATAAAAAAATATAGATTCCTACATGGAAAATTTACTAAAATAATTAATTGTAGCTTCTCATCCATATCATCCAAATCATTAAAATTTGAAAATACAATTTTAGATTCTATTGCAAAGTTGCACTATTAAGATTCTTTAATAAGTTCATGAATCTTTGAAACCTCTCACAAAAATCATTCATCGTTTTCTTTTTTCTTTATTGAACATGTTCCAAATTGATCATCAAATGCTCATAGAATGTATTATTATATGTTCTTGAAAATTTATTACGTAAAATATATTTATGTCTTTGATTATTTTTTAAGTTTATGCATTTTAAATTAAAAAATATAGAATATAATCAAATTTTTACTAAGTAAAAAAATAAATTCAAATGTGCTTATAAATTTCTTAGAAATATTAAATACTACGTGTATGTAACACAAATGCTACCATACAAAATAACAGTTGACGTACACAAGATTAGTGAATGTCAAATTTATAACATGTTACAAATTAGTTTATTTTAGTTTTAGATATTTTATTATGCCAATATTATAGATCTCGCTTTAAAAAACCTGAAACTTATATAACATATAAATTGCATAATTTAGTAATTATTGATATTTTGTGTTATTCTTACAACTTTTTTAATACTGAATAGTAGTAAAAATAACACAGTGTCTTCTAATAATACCATTATGACTATTTGATTATTTTTGAAAAATTATATGTATACATCTATCATATTTACTATTTTTAATTTATAATTTTATATTTGAATTTTTGATAAAATTTATAAAATTCAGAATCATAGAAATAAAATACTTGAATTTATTTTTTAAAATTTAGTGAGTAAAAAAATAAATTCAAATTCAAAATCATAGAAATAAAATAAATATTTCTCAATCAAGAAAATATACATTAATTTAATTTTTTTTTGAAAAAAATATTTATATATATATATATATATATATATACACTGAAACCTTGACTATATTTGTATTTTTAATCTTTTTTTATTTTTTTAATATAACATAGTTCGATTATTTATATCTGAATATATATATATATATATATATATATATATATACACTTTTATTTATATTTTACACACACCTATTAAAAGAAAAAATAAAAATTTATTTTAAGGATTTTTTTTGCATGTTTTAATTATAGATAATTTTGAATGCTACATCCCCAGTTGACATTACTCAAACCCAATTGATCAAGGTCTTTTTTCTTTCTTTCTTTATTCCTTAAACAAAATTAAGCATTGATTTTCTTTATAATTTGATTATATATATATATATATATATATATATATATATGAAGAATTTTTCATTGGAAGAAGAAAAAACTAAAAACATTTTATCAAGTGGATGGCAAGTTGTGGTGATAGTAGCAAAAACTGATGTGGTATTAGCAACACCTTTCATATACATGGGCATATATATATATATATATATAAACACACACAAATGTGCATATTAAATTTAAATTTTTATTTTGCAGAGAATAAACAAGTAAGATTATGAACAAGTAATCCAAACATTTAGAAAAAAAGAAAAAAGAAAACCTTGGTCACATGGGGTGTAGCAATCTGAGTTGGAAATGTAGTGTTCACCGTTCTCTTTGGATAATAGTAGTTAATGACATGAAGTGCACTTGAAGCACTGCATTGTCCTTAGTGGACAACACACATTTTTGTTGTGGCATCTGCACCCTCTTGATGCCCATATGCAGGGGGAGATGCAGCCCTCACCTGATGTGCTAAGTTTCAGATACTGTCAGAACTCACAACAGATCAAGTGTTGCATTCAATTTACAGAATCTTCCACTCCTGGCCCTTGAATAGCATTTTATTGATTAGCATTTTGTTACACCACTCAGGTGCTCCAGATTCACATACATTGATATATGCACATGTGTTAGTTGCATATATGTACATTTTGTTAACATATTTATTGTAAATACATATCTCCCATCATTATTCTGAAGAATGGACACATTCTGAATTTTGAAAAGAATTAGCGAACTGAATATAAGATCAGAGAATTTTGCACCATACATAGCAAGTTTTTTACTTATTAGTTTTCATATATGTCTTCAAAATAATCAAAAAAAATAATTATAATAATAATAATAATGTGACTTCTTACAAATCACTAATTTATTATTATCAATATACTAAATTTATTATTTCCATACTACATTTTCTAATTTTTAAGCAAACAGAACAATCAATGTATATATATGTTTCATTTATAATGTATTCACAATACTGTATTAAAGTCATATGCATAGAATGCTAAGAACCAAGTATTTTAAATTACATTATATTATGTATATGCATGTAATGATCATAATAATAGTGGAGCTCTAACAAATAAACATTCAGTATGCAAACAAGGTAGCACTTAATTGTACATATAATTTCATAAAAAAAAACACAATTATTTTATTCAACTACTTTTTTCTCTTTCTTTCCAAACTCAGGTAACAAAATTGACACTTCCAATTTCAGTTGAATTCTCTCTCATGTTCATATGACCTCTGTACATGACAAGCAAGGGTTTGCCATTAAGTCTTATTTTGTATTGATTTATTTATGGTGCATGTTTTTAATATTTTTTCCAAAATCTATTTCATTCTACAGCATGTGAAAGTGTTGCAAGAACAAATAAATATTGGTTTAGTAAATAATAAACAAAAACAATTCATGCCTCCCATGACAATTACTCCTACAAATTGATGTGAGCAAACCCTTCCTTGTGACTACGTGGACTCTACTACATTTTGTTTGTTTGTTTGTTTATAAATAGCCTTCAAAAGATTGCATTGGATTTTGACTGATTGAGTAAAAGACATTGTACTTGTCACAAATTCATTCATCTATCACACAATGTGCCAAAACCAAATTTGGCATATAGTGCTAAAAAGACTGCAATATAAGACCCTACTTGTTGGATCCTTTTATACAGTAGAATTCTTTTTGTTATTCCTTCCCAATGCAAATCCAAAGCATCTACAAGGCTATTTCAAAGCTAGAATTTAATGTCAATGTGAAAATAACAAGGCACAAAACCCACTCCTAGCATTGATGAGAGTTTTGACCTTTTGCCCAGGGCCTTTTAAACCAGAAATCAAAGACATACACCGTCTTAAAAGTAAAAGAAAAGTAAAATGAAAAAAAAACTTCAGTTTTTTGCATCAAAGATAAAAGGTGTGTCATGATGCCAAGTTGAAGTTGTAGTATGCCATGACATTAGCATATGACAAGCCAACTCTCATTATACCCACTTTTGAGACCATGTCAAAACCAACTTATATCCTTAACATCTATCCATATGCTTTACTACCAAGTTTCTTGTCTGCAACACTTCCTGTAAATAGAGAGAGCCCAAATGAAACCAGCTAAACTTTATTAACACCAGCCACCTGGCCAACCACATGGTAGCCCCGAGCTCAACCCCATTGTCCCAACTCAGCACATTTGTCTCATCAGCACAGAAACCCATAGAACCCACCTCAATAGGAAACAAAAAAATAAATTAAAATCGGCACTCAAAACTCTTTTAGGGCAAAAGGCTCATTGCTCTTTGGACTACCAGTTCTTACATCAGTGGCTTACATTAATGGCAAAAAGAGAACCTAATTCCGCGTTTTAGGCCCTGAGGCCCTTGTCACCGAGTCCCCCGAGTCACAAAGATAAACTAGCGCCATTGGTAGATTTCACAACCTGTTCTTCTCGGGTACATACTTTTGGATTTTGGATGTTCGTCCAAAGTTTTCGTTCATTGTCGTCGTCGTCTTCGTTGTCTCGGCGTGGTTGCAAGGCGTGGAGGGCGAGGGCGGAGGCGATGGTCTCAAAGACGGTGAGTGTATCAAGAAATTAGGTGCCGCACGTTGAATGTTTTAGGTGTAATGTGGGTTGAAGTCGACGGAAGGGTATTTCCATTAAGGTTTGACAGGACAATAGAATGACTGTAATGGGTGTTGTGAGAATGTTCTTACGCGGAATCAATTCTTTCTTACGTGAAAAACTCTTCCTATTCCTCTTTCCTGTAGCTTGGATTGACTACCAGTTTCGATTACATGAGGTCTCCAGTTATTTCAAGAACGCTTTGTCATTGAGAAGTGAGCGTAACGGTGGCGGAGCTCTCTAAGTATACTGCTGTCTTTGTGAATACTACTGTTCAATTTCTGTGAATGTCGTGGGAATTACTGGTTTAGAGTACCAGCTGGGTTCGGCAAGCGAGTGAACAGTTTTTTACAAGAGGGAGGATTCTCTTTTCTCCTGCTGAAATTTAGAGTAACCGTACTGCACATTGTAATGTTTCTCTGAATTCTGAACATCCAGAGCTTCCTTTTCATTGTTTGAATGTGATTCTTGCAGCCTCTATTTGAGAAGGGCACGTGTGAACACACGCTTTTTTAGCAAATGTCAGTCTGATTCCTTAATCTACACTCGTGGCTCTGGGATGCACGTACTTTCAGTGTGCACCCTAAGTAGAGTCTCAGCATTAAATTACAGTATCGCTTCTTTTTGTTTTGGACTGACCGCCGTCTTTCTTGGAACGTAAGCAATTTCTGAACAACAGTCATCGACTTGTAACTAGTGAGTCTCGTACGTTTTGTTTTCTCTGATTCTTGTCAGGTATATCTGGGCTGGTCTTTTGGTACTTAAAATATGCATTCGGTGTATCGAGCAGGGGAAAAAGCTTCTCTATCGTATAAGCTTGCAATCTGATATTCTCTGTAGTCTGTCACTTCGTTCTGTTTCCTTCTCATGAAATTCGCGCTGCATTCTGTTCCTGGATTAGCTGCAAGTGACGTGGATCCTGAGATGTCCAGGGGTTTATAAGTATATTGTTACTGAGATAGTGTGCCACTGTTCATGCTACGGCTCATCGTTGTCTACATTTCTCTTGATTTATAGTTTTCTTTGTTGATATTGTGTTTGCTTGTCCTTTACCATGAGATGTTGAAGTAATAGGCTATTTTATACTGCAGGTCCGATTCCATGGGTAGGTAGCGAGACAGTAAAGGATTCCATATTTGAATTGCGATGTCTTGCCAGGATAGTGAAACCCATCGAATGGAAAGGCTCTTTTCAGGATCCTCGATTCAAACGACAATGCTTCTGCAGAAAGGAAGGCATCGGCGCTCACTGTCTGTTGACGAGGAACCCAATAGCATTGAGAACCTCTCTTCTGGCACATCGAGTCCTAGAACCTCCGAGAAGAACTCTGCTGTTATTCTCCTTGGTGTCAAGAAGATGAAGAGAACACGATCATCTTTCGGAAGCGACGAAGATGTCCACGAGGGGTTGGAGCTTTATGGAGCATCTCTGCCGACTTCTTTGGTAGAAAGGATATCACTCAGCTCCATATCAATTCGAGGTATTCGCTGTTTTTGAAATCTTTATTTGACGTTTTAAGAGAGCTGTAGTGAGTACCTAATCGTGAGCTCTTCAGGATTCCGAACCTCTCTTTTCAGAATATGTCTCGAGCTTTACCTCTCTGATGTGCATAGAACTTGAGTGTGGTGTGCTTCAAGAGCTGATGCTCTCTACTGCTTTGTTGGATATTTTAGGACTCTACAATTAATGAAGATTGGGTTACCAAAACTGATTTGTCCAGGACACAGAAGGGTCGGATCTGGGAGCGTGACCCACAATGCTGCGGGGTCCCCATGGCCGAAGGGAATATGCACGCCAACTAAAGGAATGGAATCTAAGCATGCAGTTGCGATGACTACGGCCTCTCTGTTCCATTCTCCAACAAAGTTTGAGCAGCCTCTGAAAATATCTAGAATGCCTCGTAGACTCATGTCAGATGCAGATGGAACTCCACATTGTAGGGACGCGTTTGAAGAACAAAAGCGACAAGATTTCGAAAACACTGTAGACAGCAGATTTCATAAAGAGGTAGCACACGAGAGTGAAATCGGTTCCCAAAGAAAATCCTGCTTCGCTCTTCCAAACAAGAAAATGGAGGATGATGATGCGTGTCGAGTGTCTTCCGACACAGTGTCAATGATTTTCACTGAAAACCCATCAACCGGTTTACTGGGGTCCGCTGTAGATTCGTGGCCAGTCGAAAACTTAAATATGGATGCAGCTTACCTGCCAGTCTGTGACGTTTGTCCCACAGAATTCGAAACTACGGATACATCTTTTACGGAGCAGTCGGCGACGAGTTCACTGAACATGGATCATGATCTACAGGGAATTGCATGTATGTCCTCATTTCCTGATAGTAATTCAACAAACCTGCCTTCCTTGTCCAAACCCAACGAACTAGATGCTGCTTGCGAGGAGCCATTACACTTGGAGCTACAGAATGGAAAAATATTAAGCATCCACTCCGAAAGCTCTGACCAGATCATCTATTACAAGGATAATCAAGAGGTAACATTGGCACTAACCTCTCAAACAAAGGACTTCATTTGTACCCAAGAAAATGAAACTAATCAGAGCACCCAGCCTATTTCTTCTTCTGATGAGGGCGCCAAAGCTAAGCTTACCGAGACAGCGTTTCAATCTTGTCTCGTAGGTGAAATGGTCCCTGTTTCCCCTGTTCTCCTGTTGGAGGAATCTAAAGGAATCGATACAGTCGGGAGTCAGAGGGAAGGGGGAGAGATTTCGCCCTGTTGGGAGAAAGATGTCACATTGAGCACTGATTTCAATAGTTCTGATGCGTGTTTAAGTAAGAGATCTGGCTCTGGACCAGGAGATGATGCGCGAACTGAAACTAAGAGAACAAAACTTCCTAAAAGAAGGCGAAGTGGATCTGCATCAGGCCTTGGCGACATGGTAGTCAAGGTTATTCGCGTGACAGAATCTGAATCCATTAAGGAAAGAGCTCTCACCATTTTAGCGCCTGAGGTTTCATGGATAGACTCAACGCGAAGTACGGACCAATTTGAGCCAACCCCTGTAAGTTCACATCAATATTCTCATGTCGAGGTGAAACTTCCTCTTCCATTTTAGCTTCAATCACAGATTCCTGGCTTGATCTATTAGTTCTACTTGAGTCATTGCAGTCTCTCTCCGTCTCTCTCTCTCTCTCTCTCTCTCTCTCTCTCGCTCTCTCTCACATATACGCACATTCACATAGCATCTCCAATTCAGGGGGAATGAACTACAAATGTTCTGGTGCATTGAAATCTTTCTGGGGTGTCTTGTCAGCTCACCGAGACAAACTTCAGCACCGAGGCTGTAGACATGGAAGTTGACTGTGAGAACTGTAGCACTGAGCCTTTGGCTCCAGATACAGATACCGAAAAAGAGGGTGCAAATGCGGGAGGCTCTTCTGATTACAAGGACGCCAAACAGACATCTAAACAGGTCGTGGGTGAGTCGAAACACTTCGCTGAAGGAGGTGAATCTGATTCGGTATTGCGTGACTCTTCAAGTAAGCTAAGTGCAGACCAAATTTAATGATTGCATATATCTGCTTTACTTCTTCAACAGTCTGATTGATTATCTCGTGAAGCAGATCACATGACTTCATTATTAAGCAAGTTGAGATTGGATTTCACGGAGGAAGTTGGAACTTCAACGTTGAACTTCGATATGTAATGCAGGTTGTGGAGTGACAAGCGATGAATATGCTAAGCGAGAAGTTCCATCAGAGAAGGTGATAATCTGTGTTCCCCGTTCTGCAAACGAAAAAGGCTTTGCATTGATCACGACAGATGACCTCAACGTGTTGAAGCCACAATCGGAGAGGTTTTTGGATGCTAGGGATCTCAGCTTGGGCGGCATTCCATCACGTCGAACAGAAGCATGTTGTGGAAGTGAGCAAGAGTCGGAGGAAGCCAATCTGATAGTGAAGATTGACAATCAGGAAGCCGTGACCGAGAATGCTTCTCTGAATGTTCATAGAGTAAGTAACGTAGAAGAGAACTCTGGTGGCAACCAAAGGAAGTCAAGTCTAGGTTGCGCAGGGTCGATCTCGCATGATTTGAACTCGTCCACAGGTAATGCCCTCGATCTAATTCTAATGGATCTAGTAAAAATCTTGAACACTGCGTGTATTGAAAGAAGAAATTACGTTGAAAGTGCTGATTCTAGTAACAGAGTTTATTTGTGCAGAGTTGCAAGTGAAAAATGTAGGTGACATGTTTGAAGCAAGTATTGGAGCTGAGAACATCGTGAAGCAGCCCCTGTCTCTTTTGGAGGAGAATGAGTGTATACTCACCAGAAAACAACCCCGGAGCAGTTCTTCCATATTACAAGTCTCACCTCGACAATCTGTAGATGAGTATCGCCTGCCTCCCTCTTCCATCACCATCTTGACGAACCCCTCTTTCTCAAGCTCTCACCAAGACAGGCTCTGGGAGGAGCAAGCAGAAGCATATTCTAGTGGAGGACTCGGCACTCCTGGCCGGGAATTCGACGCATTTGCTGTGGTCAACGAATTTAACTTCCATTCTCTCTCATCCAGTGGTGCATGCATCTCCTGCATCTCCTCCGATGACCAACTTTATTGCGTAGCGGCGTCGTTACGAAAGGGTCATGCTAAAGATCGCTGCGCGAGAAGTGCAACTTCGAGTTTCGTGAGCGACAACGTTCAGTGCAGCAATGGTAGGAGAAAATTAGGTCTATGGAAGAGGAGGGGAAAACCTCAAACGCCACTACAAACCTTGCTAGTAGAAGGTTTGCACAGCAGGGCAAGCTCCGTCTCAGGTCATCGATCACCTGACAGCAGCCATCACTTCCTTCACCACCTCATGTCCCGCATCAGAGGAAGTAGGAGCTCATCCAAATCATCGAGCCCAAGAAGCTCTGTCGCCGTTTCCAAGAAGCGCAACACCATCTGGAGCAGTTGCATTTGCTTCTCGCGTGCTCAATTAGTAACTGTATAGCGCCCTGCTCGTTGTCTTCCATCGAACTCCTGCATTTACCTCGACGTCGTTTATTTGCAGATTTTGCGGCATCTGTATAGGCAGTCCAATTTTGGACCATTTCAACTGCCACTGAGAACTGTTTACGCCACAATTCTAATTTTCCTGCAAAAGAAGTCCATTTTGCAAAACACTCAACTTGCCTGTATTGTGATTGTTCAACTCACACAACTGTTGAACGTGGACATCGACCGAAACCATGGCATCAGGAGAACTCAGCCAAACTAACACCAGATATGTTCAAAACCTCTTCACCTAATCCGTCCTTGTCTTCTTCGACTCATTTCGACAACTTACTTCATGACAAGAACGAACACCACAAGTACCCTGCAGCCTTATGAATTGCAAAGCATACAGAGAGAAAATTTTGGGTATGTATCAAAACCTTAAGCTAGGTTCTCACCGTAGTGTCTAAATAAAAGAATATCACATTTTAGAATTAAAGTGATATTAGAAATATATATGTTAGAACTTAAGGATTAAGTGAATGCTTTTTAGGTAAGTTTTTATGAAAGTAAATAAGTTATAATTTAAAAATTGTTGATGTTATCTATTTAAAAATAGTACTTTTTTTTGTATATACATTGGATATTAATTTTTAGCATAAGAACTATAAAAAGCAACTATCCATTGTCTTTAGATTAATAGTTTTTTTAATTCATAAGTATAAATCAAGATGTTTAGCCAAATCAATTTAAATATAGAATATTATTGAATATTAATTAGATATGAAAGTTGAAGAAAGTATGTTTGTTCTATAAGATTTGACTTTTGTGTATTTTGATTAAGTTTCTTTGTAAGTTTGATGAATCAATAAAAATAAATAAATAAATATATATATATATAAAATGAAATAATTAAAATTTAGTAATTTAAGATGATATTATTAAAATATTTTTTATTATTACAATCAATGATTTAAATTATTAGAATATAAAAATAAAATATGAAAAATATAAGTTATATTTAAATATATAAAAAATAAAATAAGACAATCAAAATTAATTAAAAATTTATCTTTAAATCTTTAAATGAATAAGGTATAATTTAATATCACTACATATCAAGGATATAAATCTTAAAGAGAGAAAATTTCAATATACTCTTATATCACTCAAAAGATCTAAAAAATCATTCAAAGATAGTAATAAATTGAACTAAAACGACTAGTATCATAGACAAGAAGATTAAAAAGTCTCGAAATAAGACTAAAGACTAGAAAGGCATTGAAAAGAGTAAAGAGAGCTAACTCTTGTCTTCATATACACTATTCAATTAGGAGCTATATGATGATGTCTTATAAAACTTCAAACATGTCTTCAATTTGTGAGATACATGACTTAACTTGTAAGATATGTTTTTTATATGTGTGCTACATTATTAGCTTATACACAAGCTATCAACACATGAGATACATAGTTATTTTTTTGGCTAAGTTTCTAACCTATCAATCAATTATAAACATGTATAAAGTCAAATAATCATTTATAAAGCTTTTAAGAAACTTTACCACAAAGTTATATGAAATCTATCTATATTTTCTTTCTATCTAGCATTTCTTATCTGAATAAATATATATGTTTGTGACATTTATCCTCCTTTTAGGATCAAGTTCCACAAAGAGTAATCATCATATGTTGAGAAAGTCTAAAATATATTAAATTGTGTTTACTACACACTTTAATCTTTATTTCTTTTAAAGGTAGTTGATAGGTCCTCTTAGCCATTGATAATATTCTATTTCTAGGTAAAAAAAACTACCATGTTATTTAATCATTGTTGAGGACTTTGTAACTTCTTTCAAATAAAATATTTATAAGATCATTGAAAATTATTCCTACCTTTAATAAAATCACTAAATATAGAAAATATCTTCTAAAGTTGAGATCCTAAGATTATTTAATCTTAACATTTATTTAAAAAAGAACTTATTGTTCTTGAGAATCTTCATTTCTATTACATCATCTTGAAGACAATAATAATTATATAGTCTTATCTAATAAGTCAATAAATAATAGCTCATGAATTTAATTTGTTGGTTGTTGGTTCTCCATCTTTTTAGCACTATAATATATATAAACCAAAAATAAAGAAAGAAAAAAATAAAAACTTTTATAAAATATATATTTTTTATAACAAAGATTTATTATTTTTTATCTTGATTTTGATAGATATTGTTGATGAAAAGTATTAATCTTTTTTACTACATTTGCAAGATTTTTAGTTAGCCGTATTATGCATTCATTAATATTATATTCGTATCAATGAAGAAGTTATTCAAACATATTTTGATGCCGCCTTGAATCTAAGATTCTTTCCACTTCAAATTCTTGATTATTATCTATTTTTATAAGAAGAGGTTGCATTTGTCTTTTTCTCAAGATATTGACTATCTTATATAACTTAAGAAAAGATATATAGAATATGAAATAGATCTTTGTAGACTTCGATATCAAAAGAGCAAGCATGTCAAGGATATGAATCTTAAAGAGAGGGAATTCTCAATACTTTCTTCTATCACTAAAGATAACTAGAAAGTCACTCAAAAGGTGATGTAATATTAACTAGAATGGCTATTGCCAAAAACAAGAGAACTAAAAAGTCTTGAAATAAGACCAAGATTAGAAAGGCGTTGATAAGAGTGAAGAAGGCTTCACTCTTGCCTCCATATATACTATCTAACTAAGAGCCACATGGCAATATCTTATAGGACCTTCAACATGTGTTGACTTTGCTAGCCACATGTCTTATCTTGTAAGGCAAGTTATCTATGTATGCACCACATAGTTGGCTTGTTCCACAAGCTACTACATTGAGGTAACTTGTTCTACAAGCTACCAATACATGGTAAGCTTTTTGGCCAAGTTTCTAACCTACGAACACATCTAAAGTCAAAACCACGTCTATGAAGCTTTTTGGAAGCTTCTCTAGAAGACTTTATGAAATTATTCTATTTTATCTACTTCTACTTAATCATATAAGTAACTATTGAGATAAATATATATGTCCATGACATTACCCCCTCTTCTAGGGACGAGTTCTACAAGGAGCGGTCTTCATATGTTGAGGAAGTCCAAGATGGGGCAAATTATATTTGCTATATACTCCGATCTTTGCTCGCTTCGAAGATGGTTGATAGGTCTTCTCAACCATCTATAATGTCCTATATCAGGGTGAGAAGACCACCCTGTTATTTGGTCATTGTTAAGGCCTTCATAACTTCCTTGAAATAAATCATTTGGAACACTGTTAGGAGTAGTTTCTATCTCTAATAAAATCACTAAACATCAGGATTCTCTTCCAAGGTCGTGATACCAAACACATTGTATCTCGCCATCTATTCGAGGAAGGACATGTCATTCTTGAAGATCTTCATCTCGATTTTTTCATCTTGAAGGTTGTGACAATTGCAATGTCTCATCTGGTAAGTCCGCAAATGAAAGCTCTTGAGTTGAATCTGCTCGTTGTTGGTGTTTCATCTCATCACAAATATATAGAAGCTACAATGAAAGATAGAAGGTAGAATGTTATTTTCTTTTGATCTTGTTTCTTTTATAGCAAAGGTTTGCTATTCTTCATCTTGGTTTTGATGGATGTTGTTGATGAAAGACTTCAACTTTCTTTGTTGCATTTGCAAGATTCTTTGATGGCTCCCATGTACATTCACTAATATCATATCTGCGCCAATGAATAAGATATTCTAACCTATTTTGGTGCTACATTGAGTCTAAGACTTCTTCGACCTCAAATTCTTAGTTATTATCCACTTCTATAAGAGGAGGTGGCATTTATCTTCTTCCCAAGATATTCACTGTCTTATATGGCTCCAGAAGAGATACATAAAATATAGGGCGGATCTGCATAGACTCTGATAAGTGTAATCAACAGGCAACAGGATTGATTTGTTGACAAATGAAAAAAAGACCCAGCCTTTGATAATCTAATTTATCACAAGGACAAGTAGTCTTGATATTACGACAAAATAACCATACCTTTTCACCCATATTATATTGTGGTTGCTCCTTGCAATAGGCATCCGCGTTGGTCTTTTATCATTCTAGAGCTTCCTTTCATTGTATCTTTATTGTTGTATATAGCTTTGACAAGCGATTTGCTAAATCCTTCGCCACAAGATTATCAACTTTTGAAAAATCAAAAGTATCAAGACATAGATGATAACCATAATTGGTAAAAAAATATATTTGTTGAGTGGAAGAATGTACCAAATTATTATATGCAAACTCTACCAATGGTAAAAGAGTTGTTGAATCATCTTGATGATAGTTGATGGTACATCTTAAATATTGCTCCAGAACTTGATTTATCAATTCCATTTGTCCATCAATTTGAGGATGAAAAGTTGAAGAAAGCTTTATATCCACATTTAGAATCTTAAATAGGATTCTCTAAAAACTTGATACAAATTGAGTCCCGTTAATCGATATAATATCTTTTGATAATCCATGATAGCGATAGATATTGTCAATGAAAAGCTTAGCTGTTTCTTCACTTGTGATAGATTTTGTACATGGTACAAAATGTGCCATCTTGGTAAAACGATCTACTATCACGAATATAGAGTCACAAGAACCTGAGATTGGAAGATCCATGATCAAATTCATAGAAACAGAAGACCATGGTTGTTCTAGAATGGATAATGGCTGAAGAAGTCCGTAAGGTCGATGACGAGGAGTTTTTGATCTTAAGCAAACATCATAAGATTTTACAAAATCTTTGATTGCCTTCTACATTTGCGGCCACCAAAAATCTCTGAATATTAGTTCCAAAGTTTTATTGTACCCAAAATATTGTACTGCTAGAAAGTCATGACAAGCTTAAAAAATAAGTAATCAAGCTTCACCTTCAAGAACATATAGGCATCCTTTGAAATATAATAGTTTATTTTTAAATTCAAACTTGGAAGTATCATGGGACTTAGAAGAAGTATCTTTGATATCCTGAACAAGTGGATCACAGGACATGCTTGATTGAATTTGATTCACAAATATTAAATCAATAGTCAATGTTGATTTTATAGCTTAAAGATAAAAATGCTCGGGCTTCAAGAGAATTGATCTTTGTTGATTAAAAGATGCATCTCCTTCTTTTGGTGCAAGATAAGAAAGTCTAGAAAGAACATCCGATAGACCTTGTTGTTTTTTAGGTTGATAAGTGATCTTGAAATTGAATCTAAATAAAGACATGCTTCAACAGTGTCGTGTTGCAACACGACTATACGGTGAAAATATAAATAAAAAAGATTTATTAATATTTAGTCATCTTAGATGTTAGAAACAATGGCCAATTCTAGTGCCAATATTGAGGGGCCAGTTAATGTCACTCCATTGCAAGCTGTACCACCGAACGTGACAACAGCGTATGCTCCATTGACATCATCGAATCAAGTACCTTCCATACCAATGGGACGACTAAGATCATTTTCTAATCCTACATGGAACAAGCCTAATAGGTATATACCAGTGGAAACAACCAATATGCCTGATGGAGGTACAAGAAGATAACTTCATTGTTTTCGTTGCAGATAGAATGGTAATTATACTAGTGA